GTTAATGGTTGGACTGGATGATCTTAAAGGTCTTTTCCAACCTAAACTATTCGATGATTCTAATATTCTATGAATCATCACCATCCCCTCAATGCTGGCACTCCCAAGATGGTTTCCTTCCACCGCAGCGTCTCAGCAGAAAGCACCCCCAAAAATACCTTCTTCCTTCCCTGCGCCGTGGGGCAGGAGGTGTCCCGGGGATGGATGGTCCCGCAGCGCTCCGGGGTGGGAAGCCAAGGGGCAGCTCCTGCCCTGCGGGGCTCGCGCGGAGGTCGCCGGACCAGGGCCAAAGCAGCAGGTCAGAGGATTAATCATTCAAAAAGCAGGTTGAACCTTCAGGCTGGAACCTGCTTAGTAATTAGAGCCGGAGGTTGTCCTGTGCATGGGAAGGCGGCGAGGGCGATGCCACGGGACACGAGCCAGCGGCAGGGCAGGAGGGAGACGTGGCGCTGGCTCCCGCGCTCCAGAGCGGACTTTACCCCCTTGGAGGAGGGAACTGGAGTCCGGCAAAGCCCAGCTCGACTCTCCAGCCTCCATGAACCCGGTATCTGACCCTGCCGGGGCGAAGAAACCTCTGGGAAGGTGGGAAGGGCTGTAGCTTCCAGCCTTGCAGGCAGCTTCATGCAGGGAAACTATCGTGAGGCACCGCTAAAACTCCGCGCTCCAGAGCGGACTTTACCCCCTTGGAGGAGGGAACTGGAGTCCGGCAAAGCCCAGCTCGACTCTCCAGCCTCCATGAACCCGGTATCTGACCCTGCCGGGGCGAAGAAACCTCTGGGAAGGTGGGAAGGGCTGTAGCTTCCAGCCTTGCAGGCAGCTTCATGCAGGGAAACTATCGTGAGGCACCGCTAAAACTCATATCCCTTCTGCCCAGAAAATCCTGCCAGCCCAGAAGATACTAAGAACACGCTATGAAACAAGCTAAAATCAGCTTCAGGCGGGCAAAAACACTAACTGGAGTGAAAAGGAAACCTCCCCCAAGTTTCCCAATGGAAGTTCTGACCCTGAGAATGCCCAAAGGCCTCCAACGCATCGGCATCCCCCTTTCACGCGGCAAAACCCTGGGTAACGGTAGCAGATACAGGATAAACCCACACACCCCTGCCTCAGGCCAACCCTTTGGGCTCAAGCTGCGCCAGGGAGGTTTAGGTTGGATATTGGGAAAAATTCCTTCACGGAAAGGGTGGTCAAGCATTGGAACAGGCTGCCCAGAGAGGTGGTGGAGTCACCATCCCTGGAAGTGTTCAAAAAACGGGCAGAGGTGGCACTTGGGGACATGGTTCAGTCTGGTCTGCCCTTGATTGGTTTAGTGTAGGTTAATGGTTGGACTGGATGCTCTTTAAGGTCTTTTCCAACCTAAACGATTCTAGGATTCTATGACTCTATGATGCAAGACAGCGTGCGCCCGCACCTCGGGTCACCGGGTCCACGGCTGGAGACAGAGACTCCGCACGAAATCTGCTCCCAGCTTTCTGGCCAGGGCTCTGTACCTGCATTTGTACCTGCCTGTGGGCTTGCCTTGCACACATCCCACCGCCGGCACAGCCTCCCCATCCCTGCAGCCAAAACTGGGGAAACGGAGCAGAGAAGGAATCCCAGGGCAGATCTGCCAGGTGCCAGGGTGCCATCAACCCGTTCTTTTTAAAAAAAAAAAAAAGAGGTTATTTCTCAGACACAGTGAGGTTATTTCTCAGACACAGTGAATCAGCGCTTTATTTTCAGTATTGAAAGAGGTACGAGACCAGCAGTGAGCTCCAGGTAACCAGCTGGCGCGTTGCACTTTTTTTATCGTTGCCCTCGTAACGGTGGGATTGAGGCAAAATTGAGCAGGCGGAGAAAAGCCTCCGACGTGCCCCAAGCGCAGCCTCAGCGAACCACTCGCTAGAGCCGCGCCACCGGACCCACGGGTCAGCAAAAGGTTTGCCATCTTCAAAAATCCCTGCGGATTGATTTCAGAGGATTTGTTTTCTGGGACAAGGGAGGGAAGGCCATGGATCAGATGCTGAATTAAGGAGAAATCAGCGTTGCACAGCCCTTCCGAGCGCAGAGGGGACGCAGACGTGATTCCCAAAGCCTGCGTTGTGCAAAGTGCAGCCCGTGAGCCCGACTCCGGCCTCCCCCGCAGCAGCGTACAGCAAGGAGGAACCGCTGGGGTCTGCAGCACAGTGATAAATCTGCTGCGGGGCCAAGTCAGAATCAAGCCCAGAGGACACGTGAAATCTAGAACCGTCACTACTGTGTGCAAGATGGGTAGAGGGGGTCAAATACCTGGATGCCGTCTAGCAGGACCATAAAATCATCCTTCCCCCAGCACCCTGCAAGGGTTTATATAGGGCAATTCATACCATGATCCCAGCCCAGAATAGCACCAGAGATTAACCCAGGCTCTGACCTCAGCTAATCCAGCTGGAAACGCCAGCAGAGCCACTCTGGATTGCACGGGATCGGCAATCCCGTCAGGATCGGCCACCCCTGGCTGCGACCTGGGGAGTCAACAGCAAAACCGCCCCAGAGCTCAGCAGAGGCAGCACCGCAGGCACGCGCGCTGCTTCGATGGACAAAACCGTAAAGGACTCGGCAGCAGCTGCTCCCGGCAGAGGTGGGGATGCTGGGGAGAACAGACGGTCGGGGAGGGGGTAAGGGTGGGTAAAATGAAGAGCTGTAGCCTTTGCGTCACCCCAGTTCGTGTGGAACACCCTCAGGCACAGGTCACACAACCCGCACAACCCAGCAAGCACAGAGCTTCAGCAACCCCATTTTCCCCTCGCCTCCTCCGTGCTCCTCCCAGCACCCCAAATTGGAGCAGCCCCGAGGAGGGAACCGGCCCAGGGAAACCAGGAGCTTCTTTGGGGATTCTCTCGCTCCCGGTGTCCCCTTGACCGGACGGTGCACCCCAAATGTGAACGCAGGATCAGCCCAAGAGCAGCGTGCCAAGTAGAGCAGTGTGCCAAGTCGAGCAGCTCGCTTACTTCTCCTTCAGGTCCGTGTCTGTTTTGCCTAAAAGACGGGGAGGAAAAAAAAAAAAAAATCAGGGCTCGTGTTTCCTGCTCCACGACCCCCAGCCCCTTTTATATGGTTGTTTTCCTACGCGCAGCTAACATCTCACAACCAGCGCAGTCCGACGAGCAGGACAGCAAGACGTGGCCGGGGTGCTGCCCTGAACTCGCCCTCCCAAAGCCTTCTTCTGGCTCTGGGGAAGCAAACAGCACAGCGACAACCACGCCAAGAAGCCCTGCCCTGCCCCACACACCCAATCCCTACCCGCAGGGCAGCTGCAATATTCAGAGCTCCCACCTGACTTCCACGAGGAGTCAACCAGCAACCTCTCCCAGCCCTGTTCATGCCACGGACGCGCTCCCTGCCCTCATTTATAGAATCTAGAATCCTAGAATCGTTTCGGTTGGAAAAGACCTTTAGGATCATCCAGTCCAACCATTAACCCAACACTGCCAAGTCCACCACTAAACCAATTAAGGGCAGAGTCATAATTCATTTCATGTTTCCTGCCTTGCTGGCTGGATTCTTTTTTAATGAAAGTAAAAACTAGGAATCACTAAGGTTGGATAGGATCTCTAAGATCATCAGCCCAACCATCAACCCAACCCCACCATGCCCACTAAACCATGTCCCAAAGTGCCACCTCTGCCCATTTTTTGAACACCCCCAGGGATGGGGACTCCACCACCAAGGAATCATGAACCAATTAACTCCAGAAAGTTCTGTCGGCCCAGGTTTTTGAAGTCTGCTTTGATTACCTGCCTGCTATGGCTGTTAATCTGTATTTAATGCAGCTTTCTGCATTTTCATCAGGGCTGTAAGTTATTGCACCTTGCTACCTCAACAGAGGAGGTAATTAATCTAAACGAGGGCCCCCGGGAGCACAGCGCTAAT